AGGCTGGGAAGGGATGTGAAGGGTAAACAAAGGAGGAGGCTGCAATGCTTGGTAAGAAATGTACACATTATCCTGCCCATGTAATTGTAACTCCTCTGTACAGTATGTTCACAAATAAAATTCGGAGGAACAAGAGACTCATTGGAAAACTGGTCTGTAGTGCTTATTTTACATCTCAGTCAGGGATAGGCTCTCCCTCCCTTTAGAATTACTGTTCCTCTTCTGTTCCTTAAGGGCAATTTCACATTGGCCCCTGCTAAATATGGTTTATACTTGACCTCATGGACACAGATGGCTGGTTTGTCAAGAAAAAGTACAGCCAGGGAGTCACCTGGGAATGACCTAGAGTGACTTTTATCTATCTTCAGGAATTCCTTTTAACCTTGTTTCTCCTTTTTCTGATGTTGATGGGATTAGGGAATTTTAGGCTCTGAAAAATAGGTACATAGATTAACTCACACAAATAACCTTGCTCACTGTCTCTCTAATGTACTCTTTTTTCTGGTCCAGTTTCCTTCACTCCTATGTCCCTGAAGGAATACAGTTTCTTAGTACATGCTTCCTCAACAGAGGGGCAGAAAACAGTAGTACCTAACACAGTTAGCTAACATTGATGAAGTACTCACTATAAGCCTTATATTAGATATGTCTTCTGTATTATATATGTCTTATGTATTATAAGTAACAAAGCTAGAGACCTCAAATGGCCTGTCAAACATCATCCTGCCAACAAGTGACAGGATTTGAGTTTTTATACCTCTTTTGTTAGAAGACTTTTTAAATTATAAAGCATTTGCTAAGTTTTTATCAAAAGGAATTTGGTAAGAAAATCAGCCTCAAGGCTAGTGAAGTCGTAAGAGATCACAATAGTTAAGCATTTGAATTTTTTGTGCATGTGTGTTCCTAGGGCTCAAATTCAGAGCCTGGGAGCTGTCCCTGAACTTTTTTGCTCTACCACTTGAGCCACAGCTCCACTTCTGTCTTTTTGGTGGTCAATTGGAGATAAGAGTCTCATGGATTCCCCTGCCTGGACTGGCTTCAAACATCAGTCCTCAGAGCTGAGCCTCTTGTGTAACTAGAATTACAGGTGTGAGCTGACACCTGGTAGCATTTGAATTTTTGACTAACTTTAATCTCTCTTGAACAGGAAGCAGAACAAGCCATCCAATGTCTCAATGGCAAGCTAGCACTGTCTAAGAAGCTGGTAGTACGATGGGCACATGCTCAAGTAAAGGTAAGTCTGAGCAACCCAAAAGACAGTACCACACTTCATCCTCAATGAATGAGGCTGATAGTTTCTCATTTTCCATTTGCATCCCGGCTCTGCATCTGGAACAGCAATACTTTGGTCTCCTCCTTGTATTTACCATCTGTGTTGCCAGATTTTTCTTTTGAGATCCATCTCAGGAGAGATTAAGTTCCTTGTTATTTTCTCTCCACATACCCACAGATCCTGTTTTTGATTGACTTTTCCATGTGGCTAATAGTATACTCAGACCTCTATCATTTTTTTCAAGGAGGTGGTTCTTTAGGGGGAATATACATTTAGTTTTAAAATTAGTTGCTTTAGGCATTATTAAACTCTTTCCAGCCTCTTGCCTGTGTGCAGAGTTTGAATTTATTACTGTAAATGTTTGAGACATGGTGGGGGTGAGGGGGTAATAACTTTTGACAACACTGATATATTCTTACTCCAGATCTTGAGAATTTAATATTAGATTATCATGTTTAATACTAGAATATCATTTTTGTGGTACTTTTTGGTGGCTATATTATCTCCAGGCCCAAAGAAGTGACAAACTTCCCTGTTCATCCTGTAGTTAGTCTCTTGGGAGAGTATGCCAGAAAAAGCTATAGTCATTTAAAAAAAAAAAAAAAAGAATGGACTGGTATTCTGTTCCAGCTGGCACAGAAAAGTGAAATGTGTGGACTGGAACAGTCCCAAGAGTTGATTCTCCTCATGCATTAAGTCTGGATTAACCTTTTTATAGAAGGATTTTGAGTTAGAGCTAGAGCTTTGATAGTTAGCTATGTGACAGTAGTTTTTGATCAGAAACACTCTACCCTTTACTTAACACACTTCCCAGTACAGTCAGAAACTGAACAGCCGTTTAAGTGCAGTCAGTATCCAAGCTGAAAAACGAAGCTCAAAAACTTTGGGTCCTTATGAGCATTTCAGGTAATCACAAATCTTCTCAATTTCTAGGACACATTTCCTTAAAAATAGAAACAAGAAGAATTACCAAATGCTTTTTACTCAAAAGAAAATCAAGTCTCATTTGTCAAACTGGCTGTCGTTTTCTCATTCTGCATCTCATTGAAAAGGCACGCAAAAGAAATCATCCTTCGTTCCTGTCTTTCATTTGAAAATCTCTTCCTCATGGTTCTCTGTGTAAATCTTTTCTGACAAGAGGTTCCAGAATGTTCCCTAATATTTGCTTTTTACAAGAAGTTAGCAATTACCAGGCTTTAAACTCCTTTACTATATAATATTACCGGCAACTGAAAGCTTGATGCAAGTCTTCACTCAGACCTGTTAACAGTTGAATGTTATCATTGATATTTTGTACAGTCTGGAAAGATTTTAAAGTGTTTGGAATAAAACAAATACCCTAAGTGGCAGTGTATGACAAAATAAGGATGTAAGAGGGAAACTCTGCTGCATATTTGTGACATTTGTGCATTTGAACCTTGAAATTCTTAGCTATGAAATGTTTTCTTTACCAACTAAGACTAATGCCTGGATAAAAGCTTCTTTTCTGTTTCCTTTTCTAAAATTATAGCTTTGAGACCAAAGCTGTGTGGCTTTTACTTTAAATGTAAAACAGTTCTAAAATTGTCTAGAAATAAGCTGATGATCAACTGGGTAGCATTATACTTTCTGAATCCTTATACTATCATATGGAACAGGTTTTTAATTGCCCCTTTTTCTCACTTTCAGCGATATGATCACAACAAGAATGACAAGATCCTTCCAATCAGTCTTGAGCCGTCCTCAAGCACTGAGCCAACTCAGTCTAACCTAAGGTAAGACAGTACACTGTAATAGGACACAGTTGTTCAGGGCTTGAGCCATTTCATTCCTTGCCTTCATTAACCCTAATGAGTCTTTACACTCTCAATTTTCAGTAAAACCTCCTAACATGCTGTGTTAAGAAATATGTTCAGGTAGCCTCTAAAGTGTGTGTATATATTTCCTATCTTTCCATCCCCCAAAATCATGTATTTCCCCAGCTCCATTTGTAGAATTCATTCACTCAGAAAGAGTGAATTTAGTTACCACACACCAAGACTTGTGCCTGGCACTTGGAATACAGAGATAAATCAGAGCCAATCCTTACCCTAAAAACAAGCATTTCAATAAGGCCTTGAGTCCCTTTGGCATTTTGTCATTATAAACTTAATTCTTCCCCAGCTATGAGTTCCCTTATACAAAATTTTATGTACCATTGCAGCAACTGTAATAGTGTCAGTTACTTCTCTGGAGTTAATTCAAAACAGGGGCACTAAGGGTTGGGTAGAGAAAGGAGAAGTTAAGTGGGTGGTTGAGCAGAAATTCAAGTTTTTTGTTTTGGGGGAACTTTTTTTCTTCTGTTGTAGCCTAGGGAGAAATTTTTAACAATAACACTAACAATAGCCAGGATTTGTCAGGCATACTGTAAGCAAGCACTGTGCTAAACACTTCATATGCAGTGTGTCATTTAATTAGCATAAAAATCATTTTCTATATAGGAAAAACTGAAGTTTAGAGAGGTGAACTATTTTAACTGAAACCAGGCACACAGCAAATTGCAGAATCAATTCAGAGTCACAGTTCAGTCTTATTTAGTACTTCAAAATCACCTTGTAAATGTAGGAGTACAGTTCTAAAGCTGTTCCAGGGAAGGGGAGGAAGATATATGAAAGAGCATTGATAGAAGAATTACAGTTAACAGTTACAAAGACATTCCTGTTTATTATAAAGTCAGAGGGAAATCTGTCTTTTTGTATGCCAAATAAAAGAGATGTAAGAATATCTCACAAAACTATAAGGGGACGTGGTCCTGAAATATTTCCAGAGGGGATAGATTGACACATTAAAACAGTGGCTAGGAAGATGGCTCAGTGGTAGAGTGCCTGCCTCCTCTGCTTGAGGTCCTGGGTTCAGTTCATCAGCAGCACATAAGCAGAAAAAGACAGACGTAGCACTGTGGCTCTAGTGGTAGAGCACTAGCCTTGAGAAAAGAGTTGAGGGACAGCGCCCAGGCCTAGAGTTAAAGACACAGGACCTGGGGCTGGGAAGGTGGCTCAGTGGTAGAGCACTTGCCTTGCATGCCTGAGGCCCTGGGTTCGATTCCTCAGCACCACAAGCAAAAAGAAAGAAAAAAGCTGGAAGTGGTGCTGTGGCTCAAGTGGTAGAGCATTAGCCTTGAGCTGAAGAGCTGAGGGACAACGCCCAGGCCCAGAGTTCAGGCCCCACAACCAACCCCCCCCCCAAAAAAAAACATGCACGACCTACCAAAAAAACAATTTAAGTGTAATATCATCTTATTTCATAATTTTGTGTTGCCTTTATTGTTTTGTGATCCTGAGAACTTGTAAACTAAAGAAAATAAATATAACTAGGATTTCTATAGATTCATTGAGAGCTTATATCTGCTGACCATACTATTTCCCTATCAAATCTGAACCTCCTTGATCTTACGTTGGTTTCTGGGGAGTAAGGGGGTCATAAATGTAAGTACAAGAACGATGCAATTTATGCTCAGTAGTCTCAATATATCATTAATTACTTAGGGTCTGTATTTTCACTTGTTTACTAGATAGCCTAGTGTTTTTCATCTATTTTTTAATCCAGAGAATATCACTTTATATAGTTCTATTTACATCTATGCCTAATTAAAGGAGATTGTTCCCCTGTGACTCATACAAAATGAAGGCTGGATGTCTCAATAATGGAAAAGGTGCCTCAGTGTACTTTTCATTGTAACTTAGGATTTGTTTTTTTGTTTTGTTTTGTTGTTGATTTGGGTTTTTTTTTTTAATTTTGTTTTTTACTTTTTTAATTGACATGTGTTGGCCAAGTGCTGGTGGCTCACACCTATAATCCTAGCTACTCAGGAAGCTGAGATGTTAAGGATCACAGTTCAAAGCCAGCCCAGGTTTTAAAGAAAGTCTGTGAGACTCTTAGCTCCAATTAACCACCAAAAAAGCCAGAAGTGGAGCTGTGGCTCAGTAGTAGAGCACTAGCTTTGAGCCCAAAAGCTCAGGGACAGTGCCTAGGTCCTGAGTTCAAGCCCCAGACAGGCACAAAAGAAAAGAATACCCATATTCATGAGATGTCATATGATATTTCAATACATGTATACATTGTGTAATAGTCAAATCAGGGTAAACATAGCCATTTCCTCAAATACTTAATCTTTATCGTGACTTGGTTTTTAGTTCCTTGTCCATGAAATGTGTAGGTATGCTTTTGAGGATCTCTAGCAAACCATATATATAGACATAAACACACACACACATTCTTTCTAAGTTTGTGTCTCTAGCTATAGATACACATCAATAGCACCACGAGTTGAAAATAAATAAATCCATTGGCCTTGCATTCTGCTCCAGATAAAGTAGTGACCACAGTAAGAAAATTCCTCACAACTTCTGAGCCTCTCCTCACCTCATTCTCTGTGCACTACAGAGCTGTTTACCTCTCACTCTATGAAGAGGAAAAACCAGGGGCTTTGAGATGAATCCTACCTCTGTAGTTCATTAGCTGTGTGTACTTTGGGGGTTTTACTGCCTGTCTGCATTTTTTTCTTTACTTATAAAATATAGATGTAAATCTTGTTAGGATTATTACTAGGTTTAGAAACAAGTAACTTGCTGACTACTATGCTTGTTTTGTTGTAAATAACACTATAGGATTTCCAGAATGTTGTTTTTTTTCCTCTTATTATTTGGTGATTCACAATGTAGTACACTGTAATAATGGTTTACAGCATAGACTTTAGCATCAATTTGTATTCAAACTTTAGCTCTTCTTTTCAACATTGGACAAGTAACTAACCCTGTGCCTCAATTCTTTCATCTTCAAAATGAGAAATATAACCTACTTGATAATGTTGTTTTGAATTCTGTCTTTAACTGTCTAGTTTATGCCCAGCACTAAGATGCTGAATACTGCGTGTGTGTGTGTGTGTGTGTGTGTGTGTGTGTGTGTATGTGAGAGAGAGGATTAAATATGATTGATACTGAGGCATAAAAAAGATGAAGCATACAAGTCTGCCAAGTCCCACTCAGCCTCTGCTATCCTTTTTCCAGTGTCACTGCAAAGATCAAAGCCATTGAAGCAAAGCTGAAAATGATGGCAGAAAATCCTGATGCGGAGTACCCAGCAGCACCTGTCTATTCCTACTTTAAGCCACCAGATAAAAAAAGGACTACTCCCTATTCCAGAACAGCTTGGAAATCTCGAAGATGATGCTTATGAATTGTTGTAGCAGCAAAAAGCAACTTGATCTCCATACCTAAGCTCCTTTGCCTTTGTACTTTGTAGATGTAAGCGGTACTGTCCAACAGAGCACAAACACATATTAGAATTTGGTAATACAATGTTTTTGGATGTTCCTGATGTGTCTTCCCTAAACAATACATGGAATTGAGTATCATCCAGAATAAATAGGATGATGTGCAAAACTGATTTGAACACTGAGATGCTCTAGTTGGCTGGGTTTGCTTGAATTTTTAACTCCAGAAATATAAGAGACAGAAAGCCAAGCTTATAAAATGCTACTTAAATCAGGAGAAAAAAAGTCCATCAAAAAGGGGAGGGAGGCATTTTCTTGTGCACATGTCTTTGCAACATAAAAAGAAAAAAAAAAGAGGCAGATTTTAAATCATAACTATGGGTTTTAAATCATAACTAGAACTACTTGAGAATTAACAATGACAGTCTTTCCAACTGGATTGAAAAAAGAGTTCTTGGCAATTTATAGTCATCTTGTTAAAGATTCTGCTTGTAAGTTTCAAAATCTCAATTAGAAAAACATGGTGTGTATATCTTAAAATTGTTTACGTCAACAAACATTTTATACTACAACAAACATTCTATTTAGAAACCCAGCTTTTACTCTATAGTGATCATTTTTAAGAATCTAAATAATCCTACCTTCTATAATACCAAATATTACTAACAGGACTTTTAAAATTTGCAGTAATTGCATGAGATTGTTTTTATAGCATGAGATTAATCCATTTGGAATTGTGTCATAGCTGATCTAAATAGAAAAGCAAACGTTCTTTGAAAGCCTAGATAGGTCACCAACAAGCATTACTGCCTAATAATTATGTGGGGTCTGAGTAGCAGAGGCTGGATGGTCTGTACAGGCCACATGCAATGGGCACGGTAATTCTGGAGCGGACTCCGCTCTGGAACCAACATTGTGACCACCTCATGTTTTAAGTAGTTCTAAAAAACTGCATGACTTGAAAATAATCATTTGTAGAACACACATTTTACTAGATTAAAAATAAAATGCCTCTTTGAACAATTCTGACCAGAAAAATGTAGAGAGATTCACAAACGTGTTTCTTCAGCTCAGTTTGGTGATTTGATACCAGGTTTGACAGACTGGGTAACTGGGTAGCACCATTGCTTCTCTAAGTCAATCACTTATGTTCTGTACTCCAGGTGCCATTCGTGGTAATTCAAAGACTGTTTACCACTTTCATTCCTAGTAAAAGAAGCTTTCATTGTAGATACTTAAGTCTTCCTAAAAGTATAAAGATACTAGACGTGGGTAATCTTGGTACTGGAGAGGCTTAGACAGGAAGGTCACAAGTTCAAGACTAGCCATACTAGGTAGTGCTTTCCCCAAGGTCAGTCTTTTTAGATGTCTTTAGATATCAAATACTCTGCATTTATTAGCTGTACATATCTGTGATGCAAATGGCTCTCCTTCCACTTGGGGGCTAGTTCAGGGAGGTGGGAGCAGCTGTCTCCCTTTTTTTTCTGGTGACTTCTTAAAGTATAGAATGCACCATTTTATCCTTAGGTCCTCAAAAGCTTATAGTAAAGCAACCTTAATGCCAGTAGCCTTCTATTTTTAATAGGAACTTAGAAAATACTTATGTTAGGACTCAGAGTTATTTCCTCTAGAAACCAGAACTATTTATTTGTATTTAAAACAATGTTTATTATTTGTACCAGTTCTTATCCCTCCATGTAAATAAATGCAAGACCTTCTCTGTGGTTGTGCCTTCTCTTGTCCATTTACTGTACTAGACTGCAGCTCACTTTGAAGCTTGTTCCCAGGTACTGATTTTCAGTGCCTTCTCTGTAAAGTGCTCCTGACAAAGTCAACCTCCAAGGCAGTTCTCTTCACCCTTTTGCTGCTTACCTCTATCTTTAGAGGTGGGAAGAACAAGCTGTTGTCATTGCAAATGTAACTATTGGAAAACAGGTTAATTGGAAGCGGAAGTCTTTCATAAGTATCCCCTCAAAGTAGAGGTTGCAGAAACGTGTGTGTGTGTGTGTTGTAAATAGGCTAAAAGCAATCAAATGAGAGGTTTGTACAATACAAGTGTTAACTTGTTTGAGAGGTTATCTGGGAGTTAGAGGCATAGCTTAGAGCAGGAGCCAACGAGCAAAAGCATCAGGTACCAAATTCAAGTTCCTATCCCAGACCTAAAAATAAAAAGGCTGGGGGCGATTATCTGTACTCCAAGTGAAATTATTCTTTGGTTAAGTGTTTTTCTAAAAGCATCTCCAGTTTTGGTTTATACAAGAGTGAAGAATGGACAGAAATATTTAATCTCAGTTCCTCTTTTATCAAATGTACAGTGTAACCCTAACCAGTGTTCTGTATGTAGTTGGCATCTTAATACTGGAGAATCTCACACGAGAAACTTTTCAAAGCATGTCATACATCAGTGGCCCCAGTTTTGTTTTGTTTTTTTGGTCCAGTCGTGGGGTCTGAACTCTGGGCCTGGGCACTGTCCCTCAGCTCTTCAGCTCAAGGCTAGCACTCTACCACTTGAGCCACAGTGCCACTTCCGGCTTTTTTTTTAAATTTTTGCTTATGTGGTGCTGAGGAATCGAACCCAGGGCCTCAGGCATGCAAGGCAAGCGCTCTACCACTGAGCCACCTTCCCAGCCCTGGCCCCAGTTTTGTAACACTGAGTAGCCATATAACAATGTCTTTTTTTTTCAAACTACTATGTAAAGGAACAGGATTGATTCTTGCCTTATAAGTTAATTGTTACTCATTCCCTGTGTGTAATAATTAGGCTTCTTAAATTATTACTTTATCCTAGCATATTCTTTGATTTTTCTTTGTCTCTTGCTCCTGTCCTGTTTCTGTCATTTATGTCTTCAAAACACCTTTTGAACTACTTACCACTTTTACTCTAGCCACTGTCATCTCTTGTTTGAACTGTTACAGTATATTATTAATTACCTCCCTTATCTCCATTACTGCCTCCCTGGACCCAGTTTGCCACACCATAGCCAGAGTAATTTTTCTAAACTTCTTTTTAAAAACCATTACCAAGCAATTTGTAGTGTGATACATCTATAGCCCCTGGGAGGCAGAAACAGGATCAATCAAAGCACAGTGGGAAAACTGCAGAACCCTACAAATGGTTACATGGCTTCAGCAAACTGGCTGTGCTACCTACCTCTCTGTATGAAAGCCCATAAGCTCAAAATGACCTTGTTAAACTTTCAAGTAGTTGAGGGAAATTTCAAGAATACTCTTGTGACACATTAAAACGACAATTTCAAATTTTAGCGTCCATAGAGAAGGAAGTGTTTGAACACGTCCACACACAGGTACACTGCCTCTGGTTACTTCACACTGTAACACGATAGTAACAAAAACTACACTCCATGAGGCCTAAAATACACACAATCTTTATAGAAAAGCTTGCCAGCCCCGTTCTGCTCCAAGCCATCCCATTGCTGGAAATGTCTTTCTAAGCCTCTGTGATATCCAAAATTCTGGGGTTGCTGCCGAAAATAATAGCAACAGGTGAAGGTATGATGTGTACCAGGTGTTGTCAGCTCTCTATCCATCTATCTGATACCTTACCTAATCTAATCATATTTCCTCCTGAGTTGGTTTCATTCTTAGGAAGGCTTTCCTTAGTGGTCAGTGGAGAGAGATCTTAATCCCAGATTTAAAATAAAACAGGTCTGAAAAGCCGGGCACCAATGGCTCACACCTGTAATCCTAGCTACTCGAGACTGAGATCTGAGGATCGCAATTCAAAGCCCACCTGGGCACAAAAGTCCATGAAACTCTTTATCTCCAATAAACCACCCAGAAAACCAGAAGTAGCAGTGTGGCTCAAGTGGTAGAGTGCTAGCCTTGAGCTGAAGAGCTGAGGGACAGGGCCCAGGCCCAGAGTTCAGGCCCCACCAGCAGCAACAACACAAAACAGGTCTGAAAGAATCTATCCCAGAGCAACAATCTCTATCTTTTCCTTTATAATCAGTCTTACTTGGTTGGGATTACTGACTGTATACAATATGGTATTTTATTTGATTGATTAATACATTGATTGGTGTATCCTGCAACCTTCTAAGCTAGAAATAAAATTTAGCCTTCTTCCCCTCAGAAACTTGCTAGTGAGTGACCTCATAAGAAGGAAACACACTCTTCCCACAACATAGACTGAGCATGGCAGGCATACAGGGTGTGGTTCATGTAGCATGTGGTAATGTCACATGCCATCATAAAGGGAAGACAGGCTCCTGATTCAGCTGAGGACAGAGGTGAAGGTGTAATGATTTTCCAGAGGAAGCTGCACCTGAGCTGGATTATGAAGGGTGTTAGAACATAAGCTGGGCCAATGGGTTAAGAAAAGCATTGGAAGATGAACAAAGCCTAGAGGTGAACAAGCCTGAGATTTAGTTGTAAGCGGCTTTATGACACTTGTGAACATGTATATCTACAGGATACATCAGGTGTAGGAGGACTTGAGTCTGACCCAATGTGCATTTCTCTGACCAAAATAAACTGATGTCTCACCTGAACACAAGAAAATCTTCCAAATCCTCCTGTATTAATAAAAGATGTTCCTTCTACCTAGAAAGACTTTTAAAAAATAATTTTTATTGTAGTTATTAAGGTGTTGTACAGAGGGACTACCATTTCAGAAGTCAGATGACTTTTTTTGATAATGTTACCCTTTAGTCTCCCCCAGTCTCCCCACCCCTGCCCATAAGTTACATGGGTCATTTTTCACATAGTATTTACTGAATAGCATGATTGTATTTGTTCACCCTTCCTCCATTCCTCCAAAAGGAAAAAACATCACCAACAACAAAAAGAAAAGAAAGGAATGAAAGAAAAGAAAGAAAGAAAGGAAGGAAGGAAGGAAAGGAGGGAGGGAGGGAAGGAAGGAGAAAGAAAAAAAGGAAAGAAAGGTCAGATAGATAGATTGATGGATAGATTGATTGATTGATAGATTCTAGCTGAGTGCAGCTGAGGTCTGAGGGTCAGGTTTGAAGCCATCCTGGACAGAAACGTCCTTGAGACTCTTCAGTAAACTACTTAGAAAAAGCCAGATGCCAGGTGCCGTGGCTCAAGTGGTAGAGTGCTAGTCTTGAACACAAAGAGGTTCAAGGACAGTGCTGAGACCATGAGTTCAAACTCCAGCAGTGGCAAAAAAAAAAAAAAAACTAGAGTGTTTTCTACTCACTCAAATCTACCCTACCACTTGTCTAACCAATGTCTTCTTACCCATCCCAAGGACTAATCCAGGGCAAGTTTTTTTTTCTGCTTCTTAAAATACCTAGTTCTGTCCAAGCGCTGGTAGTTCATGCCTATAATCCTAGCTGAGATCTGAGGATTGTGGTTCAAAGCCAGCCTGAGCAGGAAAATCCAAGAGACTCTTATATCCAGTTAACCATCAGAAAACTGAAGTAGAACAATGGCTCAAAGTGGTAGAGCACTAGCCTTGAGGGAAAGAACCAGGTCAGTGCCCAGGCCCTGAGTTCAAGCTTTGTGACTGACAAAAGAAAAAGAAAAAAAAACTAGTTCTGTTTCAGTAATTAACAGATAAAATCATGTTTTATCACTTTAAAAACATGATCCTCACTGAAAATTAAAATGAACTTTGGGGCCGGCTACCTCACAGATAGTAGACAAATTGGCTCTCTCTTTTCTTAGGTGAGTAAATCCCCGGTGCTGTGAAACCTCATCACCTCCCAGGGATCTATCCATCATCCCCACCAGTCTCTTCCCAGTCCCACCCTTACTTCACAGACACAGATTTCTGTGGCAATTCACTACTGGGCTTCTCTTCCTCAGTATTCCCCTGGTACATTGAGCCAAACTGAGCTTTTTGATCCCCTCTACCCTTCCCCAACCGCTTAGTTCCATGTCTTTGGTAACAACCAAATGGAGAAGAATTAAATGTAGAAATATGCATGGTACCTATGACATTTTCTATTCCTTCATTTCCCACATCCAGTTTGCTCAATAGTCAACTTTACATAATAAAGTTAGGTTAGCCAAGTACAATAGCTTACATTGGTAATCTTAGCTACTTGAGACTCAGTGGTCAGGAGGATCAAAGTTGGAGCCCAACATGGGCAAAAATTTAGTGAAATTTCATTTCACATGATGACTCGGTGGTATGAGCCTGTGATACCAGCAATGCTAGAAGAATAGGTCAGAAGATTGTCATCCAAGACCAGTCATAAGCGAAAGTATGAGACCCTATTCAGGAAAGAGTATAGAAGGGGGCTGAGGGTTGCCTCTGTGGTACAGCACCTGTCTACAAGCACAAAGCCCTGAGTTCAAACCCCAGCACTGCCAACAAATAAAAAAATATAATTATATAATATATTAATTATATATAATTTTATGTATTATGCATAATTACACACAAAATACATGCATATGTACAAATATGTACTATATGATTTCATAGAATCATATAGCATTACAATACAATGTACAAATATACATTGTTCAATAGAATCACATAAATATATACAAATAACATGAAACATACATAGAATATATATGACTGTAACATAGTAAATATTTCTACTAAGTACAGTCAATTAGGAGATGATGTCATATACTTATATATGGGTTATATATAGTACCTAGTCCTATATAAAAATGGAGCGATACATAATTAACTTTTAATTGTATTTCTGCATTTCATCCTCCTTGTCCGGGCAGCTGCTTCATCACCTGGTCTCTAGATTATTGCAGTTCCTGCAGGACTCAA